GGTATACGTGAGCCCATGAGAAATACCCGCGTGCCAGGAAAAACTGCATTTCTTCAACATATGTTAGATTTCCCATAAGCCTCTTGCAGTTCCCCTTGGTTTTATCACCATCTCCATCAGGGCTGATGAATTATAATTTCATTACAAATTACCTCAGGCATCAGCAGAAAATGGTCGTCTTCTTCCAATGTTATTTGGATGTCCTTTTCTTAAATAAAATGATTCTTCAGTCACTCGAACTCCAAAAGGAAATCCAAGCACTGTCATTTTGGTTGCCAAAGGTTCATTTCCTAATATAGTCCTCAACTTAGGATCACAACTGAGTTCAAAATTTCTGTTGCTAAGTGAAACATTTGTAAAATGATTTCTGCCCCATTTTTTTGACCTCTTTACCACCATTGTTAAGTGAATCACTGCAGTTGTTGAGTTAGTAACATGGCTGTTAAGTAAATCTGGCTTCCCCATTGACTTTGCTTGTAAGAAGGTCACAAAAGAAGATCACATGATCCCGGGATACTGCAACGGTCATAAATATGAGTCAGTTGCCAAGCATCTGGGTTTTAGTCATATAATCATGGGGATGCTGCACTGGTCAGAAGTGTGACAGTTATAATTCACTTTTTTTCAATACCATTGTAACTTCAGTTACTAAACAAACTGTTGTAAGTCAAGGGCTATCTGTATTCATACGTTGGAAGCTGAGATCAAAAGAACGAACAGTGGACCAAACAGTGATCAACTCACTGAAGGTTGAGACACTAGAGTTAAGTTAAAAAACAACCCAAAGTAGCAATATCAAGGAGACTTCATTTGATAATCAACAATTTTGAGTTTGCCTATTGCCTCTTTTTCAAACCTGGTGACGTTGTGTCAGAATTTCCCAGCCAGCTGGTTGGACAATTCTGGGAGTTGACATCCAGACAGGTTGTTGGAATTCATTGTTGGAATGTATTTGTATGCAACAACTACAGTAGCATTCAGACAGTAGATGACAGTGTTCACAAGTTTGGGTCTATGGTATATTCTCTATGCTCTTTTGTCCTAAGTAGAGTTTCTGAAATCCTGTTACAGTTTAAACAGTTGATTAGTAAAGCGTATGGTTACAGTTAAAACAGTTGAGCAGTAAAGCACATGGTGAGCAGTAAAGCACATGGCTCCTGTTACAGTTAAAACAGTTGAGCAGTAAAGCACATGGTGAGCAGTAAAGCACGTGGCTCCTGTTATAGTTAAAACAGTTGAGCAGTAAAGTGCATGGTTACGGTTAAAACTGTTGATCAGTAAAGCAGTAAAGCACATAGTGACAACAAAGGTGACTACTCTTTGTTTACTCTGTGATGCTATATATAAACAGAATTTCTAACAATCTTACAATTGCCAAGTTTGAAAAGCACGAGCCCAATGCCAAAAAATATGTGCCGGTAATTTTGTGGGGTTTTTTTCCTGGTTTTTTTTTTTCCTTAGCATTCTAGTCTGGCAGATTAACTCCTTAACAATATAGCAGGAATTTCTTATGACATCACAACCCCTCAGGCATTAGTTTTTGAAGACAATTGTTTGTGAGGTTTCAAAAATGGCTTTGCTTCTCCCAAACATGGAAAGACACAGTTTTATGGGGGCTGGTAAGGAGGTAGATAGATCAGTAAGGTATCATTTCAAGCGCCCCAGAATTACAGTTTTCAAACCACAGGATGGATTGTCCTTTTGCATGCATGGAAGAGGGAGTTCTTGGTTGTTGTTTTTTCTCTCTAATATTGTCTCTGCAATTGATGCTTCATTACTCTTCTTGGAATTCAGAAAAGGGGTTGCAAAGTCATCTCTTGGGAAGTAATTATGTCCTTAGGTACTCATCAGTCTTTCTATGCTGTTTGTCTATCCCCAATTGTGCCTAATAAAAATTGCTTGATACATAAGGATGCTGGGAGGATTGATTGGTTCATACCCTTGAAGCACAGAGAGAAAACATTAGATTGTATAAATGCTATGTTTTGTTTTTATTATTCCATGGGGTGAAAAGAGAGGGAGAAATCTTTATGGAAAAAATGTTCCCCCAAAAGTTAGAATATGCCAGAGGTAAGGATGACCTTCAAAAGTGAAATAAATCAGGTATATTATGGGTTTTTTTTGTTCCTCGTGCATCTAACTGTTCACAACACTTTAATGTCTTCTTTAGGGAAGCAACAGAAAAGACACATATAAGTGAATGAATCTATCATCTTTTCACCGATGCAAAAAAGCCCACGTTAATACTGGAGAATAAGTATTTGAATGTGCACGAAGCTGGGATTACAGCAAAAGGGATGAGATGAGATGGAATGTTATTTTACAGATTATAGATTAACAGAGTTGGAAGGGACCTTGTAAGTCATCTAGTCCAACCAACCACCCAATCAGGAGACCCTACACCATCTCTGACAAATGGCAGTCCAGTCTCTTCTTGAAAGCCTCCAGTGATGAACCTCCCACAACTTCCAAAGGCAAACTGTTCCATTGGTTGATTGTTCTGACCATCAGAAAATTCCTCCTTATTTCCAGGTTGAATCTCTCCTTGTTCAGTTTCCATCCATGATTCCTTGTCTGGCCTTCAGGAGATTTGGAAAATAGCTTGGCCCCTTCCTCTCTGTGGCAGCCCCTCAAATATTGGAACACTGCTATCCTGTCTCCCCTGGTCCTTCTCTACACTAGACTAGCCAAGCCCAGTTCCTGCAACCATTCATCATATGTTTTAGCCTCCAGTCCCCTAATCATCCTTGTTGCTCTTCTCTGCACTCTTTCTAGAGCCTCAAAATCTTTTTAATAGTGTGGTGACCAAATCTGGATGCAGTACTCTAGGTGTGGTCTTACTGAGGCTTTATAGAGTGGTATTAGTACCTTCCTTGATTTTCTTGATTTTTGTACCCTGACCTGGATGATTGAGAATCTCCATAGACATCTTTGTTGTTTATACAGAATAAGGTAAGGAAAAGAAGAATGGGATTCCTGTCCTTGTTGTTGTTAGTTGTGAAGTCATGTCTGACCCATTGCAACCCCATGGACAACATTCCTCCAGGCCTTCCTGTCCTCTACCATCTTCTGGAGTCCATTTAAGCTCATGCCTACTGCTTCAGTGACTCCATCCAGCCACCTCATTCTCTGCCGTCCCCTTCTTCTTCTTTTGCCCTCAATTGTTCCCAGCATTAGGCTCTTCTCCAGTAAGTCCTTCTTTCTCATTAGGTAACCAAAGTATTTGAGTTTCATCTTCAGGATCTGGCCTTCTAAAGGGTTGATCTCCTCCAAGACTGACCAGTTTGATCGTCTTGCAGTCCAAGGGACTCACAGGAGTTTTCTCCAGCACCAGAGTTCAAGGGCCTGTCCTAATTAAATCTTAATCTCATTTTTGACAGTATGGGAGACATCAGCAAGGTAGATCATAGATTTATCCTTCTACCTGTAACTCAGCAGTGAATCCAGAGATGTGAATCTCTCTCTTGAAGTGTTGCATTCAGGGTGTGAACAATGGCAGTCTCCCAAATGCATTGATTGTGGGTTTATTAGTCTTCTTGCAGCAATTGAAATAAGAGCTCAGCAGGATGTATCAATACATGAAGAAACCTGTGCTTTTCACTTCTGTTTTTCTTTAAAGCGATCATCATTCTGCCAGGTGTGCAAGAGAGCAGAGAGAATAAGTTAGTCAGAGGTTCATTATAGGTTTTCTGTAAAATACATAAAAAGTATTTGTGAAATACATAAAAAGAAAGAAAGAAAATACTGGAAGGCAAATTCTAATTAATGTTACCCAAAACAATTCAAGAGCAGGCTGATAGTGGAACAGTGTACAGAGCTGTTCTGACCCAAAACTTATTCCAAGGAAGCAAACACCAAACGGAGGTAACAGCAAAACCTTTTAATGATTTTTTACGAATTCCGTTCCTTCATGGTTAAAAGGCTATTAAAACTAATTGTCTCTGATAAGAACGAGCCTTACCAAGGTTGTGCAAGGCTGTCAAGAACACTAGATAAAATTGCTAAGAAATATTTCAAACACAAAGAGTCTCCAAACACAAACTAAGAGAGTCCGAATGTCCACAAGGCTTGAGTGCAAAAACTTCTTTGCTTTCTGCAAAGAACTCCGCTTTCTCAGCTGGCTTTTATCTCTTAAGGGAGAGGCCTTGTAGCCTTACTCCCGAGTTGCCCATGCTCCTGCAGCTGCTCTTTCCATTGAGCAGCCCTGCGTGCATGAGCACAGGCTCCTCGGGGACCACTTCATCACTGCTGCCAGCCTCCACAATCTCTGAAGGCAACATTCCACTCCCTGATGGTCCTGGCCCCATCCCTGCATCCCATGCAGACCCCTCATCTGAGTCCTCGCTCTCCGAGACCTCAGCCGTCTGCACCTGCTGCCGGCAAACCACAACAAGAGCAGTTGGGTAGGTTTAAAGGAAGGCTAGGGGTGATGCTTTCATTGTAGATTCCTGCACTGACAAGGCATATTTGATTTAAAAACAAAAACGTTCCATTTGTGTTATATGTGTAAAAAAAATCAATATATAACAAAAGCTGTGAAAGACTCTGCAAACATTGCAGTGACTAACTAATTATTTATTATTATAGTAATATATTTGCTTCTCAATTGATAAAATGTGTTAATTTGATTGATTCATGAAAATTTTAATAATGCAAAGTAAATAATGTGCTACTTGATGTCTAGATCATTTTGTTTTTATATGACAGGTACACCCCAACAGGTAGAAATTCAGCTATCCTCTTCCCCTTCAAGTAGCTTTTTTTTTTTTTTGAAAGATTCACCCAAGGTCTGCAAAACCAGTGTAATATTTTTTTTCTGCAGTGGATGCACAATCTTTCATGTGTGCTTGCAACTTCTTTTTTTTCCTCCTGCCATGTCTCTCTCAGACAGAATAACATACTCAGAAGGAACCCTGGAGGTCTTTTAGTCCAACCCCCATTCAAGCAGGAAGCCTTATACCACTTTAGACACATGGCTGAAATATAGGTAGTGACCTTACAACCTAACACACAGGAAGCAGCAGATGAAACTAGGCAGAATCACATCTGATACCTGTACAGTTAGCACAGCCCCCCCCCCCCCCCCAAGGCTGTGTGCTTTCTCGACTTCTCTTCTCCCTATATACCAATGACTGCACCTCAAATGATCCATCTGTTAAAATACTGAAGTTTGCTGATGACACAACAGTGATTGGTCTCATTCAAGACAATGATGAATCTGCATACAGATGGGAGTTTGTACAACTTGCCTCGTGGTGTAACCAGAACAATCTGGCACTGAACACACTCAAAACTGTAGAAATGGTGGTAGACTTTAGAAGAAACCCTCCCATACTACCACCTCTTACAATACTAGACAACACAGTATCAACAGTAGAGACTTTCAAATTTCTATGTTCTATCATATCACAAGACCTAAAATGGACACCTAACCTCAAAAACGTAGTCAAAAAAGCACAACAAAGAATGTTCTTTCAGTGCCAACTCAGAAAGCTCAAACTGCCCAAGGAGCTGCTGATCCAGTTCTAAAGAGGAATTATTGAGTCTGTCATCTGCACCTCTATAACTGTCTGGTTTGGTTCTGCAACCCAACAGGACAGGGACAGACTTCAGAGAGTAATGAGGACTGCAGAAAAAAACAATTACTACCAACCTACCTTCCATCGAGAATTGCACGAGTCAAAAAGAGGGCTGTGAAAAATATCTACAGACCTCTTACTTCCTGGACATAAACCGTTTCAACTCCTACCCTCAAAATGATGCTATAGAGCACTGCACACCAGAACAATTGGACACAAGGACAGTTTTTTCCCACATGCTAAACTAATAATTTCCTCAACACTGTTCAACTATTTACAAAGCCTGCACTACTATTATTATTAATCTTCTCTCATTCCTTATCACCCATCCCCTCCCACTTGTGACTATATGACTGTAACTTTGTCACTTGTATCCTTATGAATTATATTGACTGTTTCCTAGTGTGATTTGATTGCTTATTGTATCCTATGACTATCATTAAGTGTTGTACCTGATGATTCTCGACTCCTGATGAATGTATCTTTTCTTTTATGTTCACTGAGAGCATATGCACCAAGACAAATTTTTTATTTTATTTATTTTTATTTATTTATTTGATTTGTCAATTGTTTACAAGATAATAAGTACAAGTGTATACATAGTTGTTAATATATGAAATGGGTACATATAAGAAAAATAAAAGAATAAGAGAAACAATAGGACAGGGACGGTAGGCACGATGGTGCGCTTATGCACGCCCCCTACAGACCTCTTAGGAAAGGGGTGAGGTCAATAGTAGACAGTCTAAGGTTAAAGTTTTTGGGGTTTGGGGAAGAGACTACAGAGTCGGGTAGAGTATTCCAGACATTGACCACTCTATTGCTGAAGTCGTATTTCCTGCAATCAAGTTTGGTGCGGTTTACTTTGAGTTTGTATCTGTTGTGTGCTCTTGTGTTGTTATGGTTAAAGCTGAAGTATTCATTGACAGGTAGGACATTGCAATGTATGATTTTATATACCATGCTTAAGTCGGACCGAAGACGGCGTAATTCAAGGTTTTCTAGTTTTAGAATTTCGAGTCTGGTGGCATAAGGTATTCTACAACGAGTAGAAGAGTGGAGAACTCTTCTTGTGAAATACTTCTGGACTTTCTCAATTGTGCTAATATCAGATACGTAATAAGGATTCCAGACTGATGAACTGTATTCGAGTATTGGTCTAGCAAATGTTTTGTATGCTCTGGTTAGTAGTGAGATATTACCAGAGAAAAAGCAACGTAGGATTAGGTTAACAACTCTTAATGCCTTTTTGGCTATGTAGTTGCAGTGGGCTCTAGCACTTAGATCATTAGAGGTGAGTATTCCCAGGTCCTTTACAGAGCTTGGGTCGTCAACAAGATCTTGACTATTCAGTTTGTATTTTATTTTCTGATTTTTTTTACCAATATGTAAGACAGAGCATTTATTTGTTGAGATTTGAAGTTGCCATATGTTAGACCATTCAGATACATAGTCTAGGTCTTTTTGAAGGGTAGTAGTATTGTCTGTGGTATTGAACAGCTTTACATCATCAGCGAAGAGAACGCAATTGCTCTTGATATGATCACAAAGGTCGTTTATGTAGATTATGAAGAGAGTTGGTCCTAGAACACTGCCTTGGGGAACACCACTATTGACAGGTACTGGATTTGATAGGGCGTTCCCAATTTTGACCATTTGTTGTCTGTTTGACAGGAATGCTTCTATCCAGTTATTTAGTTGTCCAGAGATACCATAAGATTTTATTTTTAGGAGTAGTTTGTCGTGTACCACTGAATCAAAGGCTTTACAGAAGTCTATGTAGATTGCGTCTATTGCTTTGCCCTGGTCGAGTTGTGTAGTCCATATGTTTTTGCAGTGTAAGAGTTGCAGATTACAGGATAGTTTTTTTCTGAAACCAAATTGTTTATTGGAGAGTAGGTTGTTTGTCTCTAAATGGAGGATGATGGATTGGTTAATAATTGATTCCATGACTTTACAGGTGACGCAGCATAAGGAGATTGGTCTGTAATTTTCAACTAGGCTTGGGTCTCCCTTTTTGAAGATAGGGATGACTGTGGCTTGTAACCATAGGTTAGGCAAGGAGCTGGTCCTGAAAGATTTTTCAAAGATTATGCTTAGAGGTTTGGCTATGGCAGTGGATAGCTTTCTTAAGAAGTAGGCACATATTCCATCCGGTCCAATAGATAGAGATGGTTTTAGGTTGCGTAGTGCTTTTTTGACGTTGTCTACTGTAAAATCGATATGTATTAGATCATTGTTGTTATCTGTGGTACGGCTAGGAAACATTGGGCATGATCCATTACTGTTTACAAACACTGAGCCGAAGAATGTGTTAAAGAGGTTGGCTTTAATGGTGTCGTCGCTGCAGTCTTTACCATCGGGTCCTATCAAGGGAGGGATGGACCTTGAGTCTTTTAGTTTGTTGTTTACAAAATTGTAAAAAGCGCGGGTGGAATTGGTGCTTAGAAGGTTTTCCTCTTGTTTAATGTGATAATTGGTGCATTCGGTCTTTATCTGGTGGCATAAATTTTTGTATCGGTTTTTGAAATTAGCAACGTGACCAGATTTGTTTTTCCGCCATAGTGATCTCTTTTTGGATTGAAGTTTCCTTATTGATATGGGTAATCTGCTTTTTTGTTTTGTTTTTGGAGTTGTTGTTGGAACATATAGTTTGATGACTCTTTTGACTTCAAGTAAAAAAATGTTGTAATGGTATTCAACAGTATTGCATCCAGTGAATAGAGATTGCCAATCGAGGGATGAGAGATCGTTATCTATAAGATCATAGTTGCCTTTTTTGAAGTTACAATTAGGGATGACATCATTGTGGTGATTTTTGTGTGGACGTATGTTGAGGCAAAAGTCAATCATATTGTGGTCACTACTGGAAAAGGGTTCTTTGGTTTGTATTCTGTAAATTAAATTCAAACTATTGCAGAAGATGAGATCGAGGCAGTTGTTCAGTCTAGTGTTGTTGGTTACTAGTTGTTCAAGACCTAGATTTGTAATAGCATTGTAGAAGGTTGTGTGTATGATTTCAGTTGTACAATTATTTAGGGTCCAGTCGATATGAGGTAGATTGAAATCTCCAAGAAAGATGAAAGGGTATGGGCAGGATGTAGCCCATGTTAGTAGTGTATTTAGCTTGTTTATATGTTCGATGTCATAATCAGGTGCTCTGTAACATAGTAAGAATCGAATTGTGATATTTAAGGATAGTTCACAGATGATGGTTTCAGGAAGGGCAAGCTCCTGGGTAACTTGGATATTTTTTAGATGTAAGGATTTTTTATAGAATATAGCAACACCACCTCCTCGACGATTTTCACGATCTGATCGGTAAACATGATAGTCTCTTACTGTGGTAATGGAGTCGGGGAGAGATGCATTGAGCCATGTTTCACAGACAAATATAATGTCGAAGTTAGCCATATTTAAGAGGATGAGAAATTCAGGTATTTTATTCACGAAATTCAGGTATTTTATTCCTTGTGTGTCCAATTACACTTGGCCAATAAAGAATTCTATTCTATTCTATTCTATTCTATTCTATTCTATTCTATTCTATTCTATTCT